AGAGAATGCCAAGAGTGTGCAAAGCAGTAATCAGAGCAAAGGGTGGCTATTTTGAAGAAACTAGAATATAAAACATGTTTTCAGTTATTTCACCTTTTTTTGTTAAGTACATAACTCCACGTGTTCATTCATAGTTTTGATGCCTTCAGTGAGAATCTACAATGTAAATAGTCATGAAAATAAAGAAAACGCATTGAATGAGAAGGTGTGTCCAAACTTTTGGCCTGTACTGTACATAGGACACAATGGATCTATTGTACATCCACGAGAGTGATTTTGCAAGAGGCACCATCGCTCATCTGAAAAATGACTTATCTGTTTCTATATACATAGTTTGCTACCACAGCCTACATTACTCTGCTGGCCACAACGACTTGCCAGGATGTCCACCGTTGATGACGTTCCTGCAGACTTTCCAGAAGCCAAGGAGGACCAGCTGACCTGGCTGAGAAGCCTAGCAAACGTCATCGTGGACTTTGCTTGGATGCCTCCTGAACAGGAGCAGATCGACCTGGTTGCAGCTTGTGCAGGAAGTCCAGGGGAGTCTTTTGAAGAAGATATATTCCTGTACTGTATATGCAAAGATGGTATTACATTTTTTGAAAATTCTATCAAAACCAAAAAAAAAAAAAAAGATTAATTTAAAGCCGGTCTGTGTATAAAAATCATTTTGTATGTCAGGGTTTTTTTTTTTTTTGTTTTTTTTTTGATAAAACACCAAATTAATAATGTTCATACTTTTCATGTGTATTTATAGACAAGCAAGAGAGCATGGTGCAGTGCAGCAGCTCTAGCTGCAGTGCTGGCTCCATCTCTCTTGTGCAGGCCTTTCCCAAGCTCCAGAGGGAGACTGGTTCTGTAGCGAGCAGTGTGAGGAGGACAGTAGCTATATTTATTGCTGGTGCCAGGAAAGACAAGAGGGAGAAATGGTTCAGTGCCAGCTTGCTGACACCTGTACCAAGCATGAGTGGTACCACATGGCATGCCTCATGCCATCTGACCGACCTGATGCACAGGGTATGCTTTCTAATTGTCATACAATTGATGTTCTGAATTAACATGTAACTGTCTAACTGTGCGAATGAACTTTACAGTGTATGATATAATTTTTCTACCTCAGACATCTGGTACTGCTGCGAAGGCTGCAAAGTGGTGGACTCAGGTCGGAAGGGAGAGGATTTTGTCCTTAACAAAGGCCTTAATGTGGGAGGGACTTAATCACCTCGCAAGGAAGGATGCGGTGCGGGAAGGTGATGGGCCAGCAATGCTGGAGAGTTGGAAGATGGATCTTATCCAGTTCTGGAGCAGGAGCCATCCCAAATACTTTATCATAGCCCACAACATGCTAACCAGTAAAATAAATTACACATTGTAACTATGTGCTAGTGTTTATTTTGTTTTATACAAATTATTGTATGTATTACAGTTGAAAAAGGTTTATAGTACTTTTATATTAGATTTTGGATTTTTAATTAGTTCTGAAAATGTAATTAAACAGGAAGTGAAACGTGGTCAACTGTTGTTATAATAAAAGAAACATTTTTTATTATTTAATTTTCTTTTGTAAGGAGTAGAAGGCTACCTTTCTCAAGGTCTAAGGAATGACATGATCTGGAATAGAGTTGCCAACCTGACGGGGACACCAGGGGGAAACGTCGGCCTTGACCTTGTCAACAAGTTCCTCAACAACAATTTCAAACGTAGGATAATTGTCTTACTTGCAAAAATTCACATGATTTAAGATAAGAGCTTGAATATTGCACTGTTTTAAGAGTTGCTTTAAAGAAGTACATACTGCATGTTGTTTCAGAAATGATGAAGAGATCCAATGGCAAATAGACAGACAATGAAGCCAAAAGGTGTGCGGAGATGGGAGGAGCGTTTGGGAAGGACCTCGACAATATCCTTACAAGTGTAGGAGTCGTCTCATTTGGGGACACATGGTCAAGACGAAGCAGTCTCAAAAAGAGACAGAGGGAGGATGTCGGGCGATTTGTAAAAGAATAACGATCTGACAGACTGTTCACCTGTGTCCCTGGGAGATACCACCGTGGCCTGAACAACTTTAAGTACAACACCAACATCAGAAACCCAAAGAAAATGGGAAAGAAGATGTGGCAGTTGGCCCAGGACATGGATAAGTGGGACACCTTCTGTGGTATTCAACCTGTACAGGACTAGAAAATGTACGCAGACTGGTTACTGTGCCTATAAGGTTTCACTGCGATGTGCGCCATGTGTTAGTGTAAAATGAAACATGCAGGCTGGTCAGTAAAGGCAACCAAACAAAGCTACACGGTGTTATTATTGTCTCTTAACAAAAATAATACACAAGTCACAATGTAACCAAAAAAAGGAACATTTATTATTATTATATTATTAAATTTATTAATTTAATTTATTAATCAATTGAACACTATTAACATGTAAACATTAATAAAATATTAAATTAAAATAGTATTGCACACACTAGCAAAAAGCAGCATAGTATTTGTTTTTGGTTGCAAAATGCAATGTAGACCCAATTAACATGTCTACTTATAATACAGCTTCAACATAAAATGACACAACAATGTGGTCTTAAAACTAAAGAGGTAGTAGACAACTTCAAAGTGTTTTGCATATTCTAATTCTGTCCATAAGCATTCAGGAATACAGAAATATAGCGCTTGACCGGAGGGGCATGACCGGAAAAGTTTGAGAACCACTGCAATAAGACAATGTTCATACAAAGAGCAGATCACTCTCTTGTGCTGCTACAAAAATAGGGAGATTTGCACCAAGCTTATTACAAACAGAACAGGGTGTTATTTCACCGCCATGTGAATTACACAGGAAACACAAAATAGAGGGACAAAATAGGTCGCAATTAAAGTAAATGAACAAGTTAACTTTTAAAAAAAATTAATTGCGATTAACTCGATTAATCTTGACAGCCCTAAAAAAAAAAACAGATATCGGCCCGATAAATATCGGCCGGCCGATGCATCAGTCTACCTCTAGTTCTGCAGTCTGGTGTTGCAAATTGAGCAGCAATCTTGATGCTCACAAGTCCTGCTGTAGTCTTGGCTCATTCCCTTCAGGTGCAGAAACTCAAACACTGACCTCCGAATACAAGTGCCCGTTTCAATTTTCTGTAGCATTTCAATGTTTTTGCTGTTGATAAATGACTTATTTATCAACCTCAAGTAAAGGTAGGTTACGGCGGTTCCCCCACCACCATCCCTAGCGCATCGTCCAACCTCTTGTCAGTACGAAAGAATGTTTGAGGCCGGTCCCCAGTGGAGGATGTATCTAACATCTGGCACCTGCACTCCAAGCCCGAAGGCCACTGTGGCAACTACACAGCGCACATTTGTTTCCATTTCAACAAATGCATCCAGTGTCCTTTTCTGGCTGTTGGAGTCCAGGTGGCTGTGGAACATTTCCACTATCCTGGTGTGGACTGTGTTCATCTGACACCCAGGCAGCATTCCCCAACTTTGCCATGATGTTACTGTAGACATTGGTCACATCACTGATGGTCCTTAAAAATAAAATGTTTATGTTAACATTGTAATTACTTGTATGTATCTTAGGAAAGTAGGTGGGTTTACCAAAAAAAAACAAACATATTCCTTAACGGTCCATTAGTATCACTGAAGACAATTTGCAGTATTCTGAAATGTATTCACTTATTATTTTTTTTTCTAAGAGAACCTTAAAAAAAGAATTCATATTAAGATTTTTACCAACCTGCAGTACACAATGACCTTCCCTGCATTTTCCCCTGGCGCAGGTGAGGTACCAGCCATTCTGCTGCCTTTGTGATGTCTAGGGTTGGGTACCGTTCATAATTAAACTGATACAGTACCGGTACCGGTATCTGGAATTCGGTACCGGTACCAAGCGGTACCTTATTTCGGTACTTTTTAACCCTATGGGCCCTAGGCCTTTTTTTGAGGTATTTTTACTGCCTTTACTTTTAAGCTCATATCACAGTCATTATAAAGGCTACATACACATGCTATATCTTGTTTTTTTCAGGACAATCTGGGCTAACCAGATTTGCCATCATTTCATGTCCTATGTGCCTGTATTTTATATTAATTTTTATATCAATGAAAAAAAACAAATCTGTGTGCCTAAATTCTTACATTATTACATGTATCTCACCATAGCAAGTTGGAAAAAGACATAATACCATATATGAAGAGGGGAGACTCTGTACTCTGGAGAATCTGGTAATATAAGAACCATGATGCTGGGACATTCTGTCACTTCACAGTTGTCCAAAACAAGTGCCCTGCGTTCCAAATCGCATACTTCTACTATATACTTTTAGTATGTACTGCAGCTGCCCTTAAAAAGTATGTAGTGTAGTATGCAGTATGCATGCAGTATGCATACTATTGGGACACACTACATCCGCCATCACATCGCTCCCTGAACTCCGACCCTCTTGCTTACTTCCGCCGCCGTCCGTAGCGCCACATTTGAATATTTTATGTTGTTGTACTTCAGAGATGCAGCAAATCTCCTCTCGTCGAGCTCGCCAGAGTCGTGCATACTGTCGGAGGTGCCGGAGAGCTCTGTTGCTGTTATGTCGTCATGTATGTTGTTGTTTCTAATAAACAGTCCCAAGCCTATTATTAGTGACCTGTCTATTGAACTAGTCACCAGTAGGCATATTAACCCCTTCACACACAACTCTCTGTTGCTGGCAGATGTTTGTTGTTAAATATATTTACAGCTATGCAGCTGCTGGCACTATATTTTGTCTGCACGTGAAGCAGCCTTACATTCACATTACTTTTATTTGTAGTGTAACATACCTGCACATTCTTACTACATTACTTAATATGTGTTTGACTTTTACTATTCATATATTTACTAGTCTATACTGCTCATACCTGGCCCATAGTGTATTCATATTTAGTCATATGCATTCATTATTTATACCACACTTACACCACTGCCTGTACTGGTAGAATCTTCTATATTGTAGTCATAGTTGAACCCTAACATTGATTATACTGTAATCACAGTAAAGTTGAATGTTGTAACCGTGTTCTTGCAAAACTGTATGATATGTGACAGTATATAATCAGATCATTGCAGTCCTAATATGTAGTGTCTTAGTATCTCAAATTAAATAAACCATGTATGAAAGGAAGTGTGGGCGTTGGTTGTACACGCAGCTCAGTCAGTGTGACGTAACTTCCGCTGTGCAAAGGATTGTGGGTCAGAATGGCCAAAGAAGCATGCTGACATGCATACTGCAAAATGTGACCGGATGTAGTAGAACATCCTGGTACTTTAGGCATACTGCATCTGACATACTATGTATTGGGACATACTAATTCTTTTTCTGGCATACTAAATAGTATGGTAGTATGGGTATTGGAACGCAGGGGTGGTTTGTGCCAGGCGGACATGATTGCCAGTATTTTTTCATTATTGCAAGAAATTCCATTGACTCATTCACTCATTATCTGAAAGAAACATGCAATATTTACATCTAAGATAACAGAAGAATAGTCAACCAAGTGCAATGATGTCCTCCAAGATAATATTTGTTTTTCAGTTTCAGTTATATATTGGGGAGACATTATGGGCATTGGTGGGGGGGGGCACGTGTCCCCCTCAATGTATATGGTGACTACGACCCTGTCAGCATGCATTAGGCTGCAGTTGTCTGGGTGCGCAAAGGTGAAGTGGCTGGTCTTGTCATACAAAGTTTGATGGAGTGTCAACTGGACAATATGGAGATACTTGCATCTTGAAAGCCGGACTACAAATGTGGATAGACAGGGAGAAACACAGGCAAGCCTAAGACGTGGTAAGATACGATATTCCTCACTATATGAAGTGACTGATAACAAGATCTGTATAATGGATTGTAAAGAAATTCGTCAAGTTTTTATTTTGTAGACAACTGATCTGTATTTAGAGCGTGATGGGATGACAGTACAATGATGTGTGTGGTCCTGCGCTTTCATGTGATGTGCGTGGCATTTCTGTGCGAGCCTGCGTTCGCGAGTAATCCATCCAAGAGTAATGTGTGTGCAAAGTTGTACATCATTTTATTGTAATTTTTCACTGTGAAAACATTGGATCACCGACAAGTGCTTGGCCTTGTCGAAAAGCTACAATTCTGCTGTTTCACGTGATATGCGTGGCTTCTCGCTTGGATGCACGGTCGTGGAGAAAATCCACAGAGAAGAACGGGTGAATTTGAATTTGGATGCACTATGCGTCCTTGGGGGCCCATAGTCTAAACTTCTCAGTTCCAACATTTTATTGAGAACATTTAGGAACAGTGCTGCACGTTAACTTTTGTCTGCACATTGTTTTTGTCGCCATTGTTGCTGAGTCTGAGGTGCGAGTCATGCGCTCTCGCTCCGCCTCCACCTCAGGTACCGAAATTTGGCACTGTTTCATTTTAAGTGAATTGGTACTCGGTAGTACCAACGTGAATCGGTACCAAGTACAAAAAGTACTGAGTTTCGGTACCCAACCCTAGTGATGTCCTCATCTTTCGTCCTTTGGACATCCAGGAAAATGTTGGGCCTGTTTAGATACAATGTACATTAATTGAAAATAATGTTTTTGAACTATTTTCAATTAGTAAAATAATCCATTACACAATTGTATTTTTTTACAACTATATTACTTAAGGTTTTCCAATACATCTACAAAGCAGTAGCAGTTAATGGACATAAGGTAGAATCCTATTTCATACCTGTCGGGAAGGTAGATGACCATTGTCACTTGGGGTGGTTCCAGGCGGAGGAGGTTTAGAATCTCAGTGACCATGTCCTGGGTCACTGTCGCCGTCAGTAGCAGGACTAGCGCTGTGATATATATCCTCAGACTGGGGATCCTTAGGTAGTCTCCCCCCGAAAGCTTTTTCCCCTGATTTTGAAAATTTAATAATTAAGTGTACATTATATTTGTTATTGAAATTTCTACATAGAAAATCAGTTTGCTATTACACTCTCATGGACAGACCTAACCTATATATAAGCGTCATTCACTCTAGAACATCTCTGATGTGAGCATATAATGTTTTCATCATACATAATACAAAATATATTCTATTCTGATCTCCAATGATGTTTACACTGAAAGTCAATAGATTAAGATTGCGGCAGTGAGTTAACTATCAATTTATCTTACCAGCTTGTAAGGCAGTGAGCCTCATCGATTGCCAAGAGGCAGATCTTTTCTTTATTCTGCCTCACCCAGCCAAACCATAAGGTGTCCGCTGCAGCCTCAGGGGACATAAACACAAGGTTCATGTTGCTGTCCAGAATAGCTTAAATGCATAAGATACACAGGTTAAGTTTCTTTCAATAAAAAAAGCCTTTAGATGCTTAATAATCATGGTGTTATTACTCACACTGTTTGTCTTCTGCAGACATGTCTCTGGTGACTGCAGCACTTTTAATCTGCGGCTCACCTGGTCCTTCATCAGGGCCTTGAGAGGACTGATGACAAGCACAATGTGCTTTTCCTCAGGATGAAGCTAAAAAGTTGATTTTTCAGAGACAATTACTACTTTTGGTGATAGATAGATAGATAGATAGATAAATAGATAGATACTTTATTCATACCCGTGGGAAAATTCAGGTATCCAGCAGATAAACACAAAACAGTTATAGACAATAAATAAAAATCAGAGTATAAAAAACACACAAGTTAAGAGCAGCATACACAACAACACACTAATAATAAATAAAAGCAGCACAATTACACTAGTAGTATTGAAAAAAAAATCTGCTATTCCTTACAGTTTTCTAAATGCATGTTCAGTGAGTCATAGTTTTCCTAGTATCAAAAAGAATGACATGATAAGCTGTAGTGTATACTAGCTGCTGGCCTTAGCATCAGCAAGGAGGATGCTACACATTAGCAAATTAAAATTATTCATTTTGTGACGAGGTTTGCCCCCATTCTCCCTCTATCCTGTTTCTTTGAGCTTCTTCTTGATGGAAAAGCACTCTAGTGTATTATTATTATTGTTATTATTATTCTTATTATTATTATTAGAACAACACAACTTAATATCAGCCACTCAACAAAGGCAATAAGTAATAAATAAGTAATTAAATGACTTACTTTATCCATTATTGCTCCATAGTATCCGAAGCAAACACTTTTTCCATACCCTGTAGGCAGGACGCCAAAAACATGTCTTCCATCAATTAAATGTTGGAAGATTTGTTTCTGTTCTTCCTTAAGGGGAATGGGGAGAGACGCAAATGCGTCCTCGAGCGAAACAGCCATATCAAATAGGAAAAACTACTAAACATCCACTCAACTCCAACTACATACATGTTTTTTCCCCCTTTGCGGCTTTTTTTCTGTTCTCATCTCTCTGTGACGTTTTGACCTCAAATCGACCTCACCCATAATTGGTCAATTAAAAAGGACGTTACCTGAACCTGATGTAGGAGCGCATGTGCCTCTTACTACCAATGTGCAATACACCTCCCAACCGCTATGGGGGCGCTGTGGCACAGTAGAAAGCCGGTGCACTCATTCATTGCAAGAAGAAGTAGTGGTGAAGAAAATTTCAGACATCCGCGATAAAATGCATGTTTATTGAACAATAACGGGTATACAAACACACGGCAACCCCCGTACACCTTCCTAACATCTGTGCCTATGCGGTGAGTACATTACATGTTTGATTTGAACGTTTATGGAGACGT